CAAGAGAAACCTCCAACCAAGAGAACACCCCTTTTCCAACCAAGAACATCCAAACACCTCCAACAAAACCACAACAACCCAGTTTTGGCCCAAAGGTCCCTGACCCTTTATGCCTCCTGACTGGGTCGCCAAAACTCGCTCGCAGCCGTGTTTTCACCAGTCACTTGGCTTATTTGGCCAAGTCCGGTAAAAGTGCTGGGTCCGTCTCTGCGTGTCCAGACAAAGGACACGGTGAAGCTCAGAGGGAATCGCCTCCGTGTGAGGTCGACTCAGCTTGTCTGGGAGCACGTTGAGCAGTCCTGGCAGGTGTTGTGCCACAATCGTGTGGATGCCTTGCGCTTCTAACTCCAACACCAACTCTGCTGTCAATTGCGCCATCAAAGGACTTGACGCACGATGGTTCATTGCTGCATTCAGGGTTGCAGTCTTATCCCCTTTGAGGACCACTCGTGTAGCAGCAGTGTAGCACCTGAGTCTGCAATGATCTTTGCACTACTGCGCAAACCCACAAGGACTGCCAACAACTCGTACTCCGACTGAAATGATGGATCACCTGGCGTGGCATTGAACAGCATGTGATCGTCACTTGTAAGTGCACTGCTGAAGTATGCAATGACTTGCTTCTGCTGAATCAAAATGCCTCCCAAACCGTATGGTGAGGCATCCGTTTGCAACAACAAAGTCACTGCATATGGCCTCCAGCGATGCACCTTGCTCAAGCCAACTTTGCCATCAGTTAAGTGAAGTAATCCCCTTAACCGCCGTATGGCATTGGCTATCTGCTTGACGAAAATCAGTCCTGTACGCCGCCTTGTTGTGGTCTTGACAGGTTCCTTGTAGCCTGTAATGACTGATCACAAAATCGACAACCATGGCCTGGCTGCCGGTATAGCCGAAGACAGCCATCCCAGTACTCCGACTGAATACTGGAGGAGGTGCAAAGGGAACACTCCACGGCACTGTTCAAGCTGGTCAAACACCTGCAGCAGCTTCGCTCTCTTTGCATCTGCCAGGAGGTCAAGACGCTCTGGGCCACAAACCTTGAACTTGAATCCAATCCATTGCAACTCTTGTCCACGATGTACCTTCTTCCAAGACACCTCAAGCCCCAAGCTCAACTATGCTGCTGTGGAGTAGATGCCACAGAATCAATCAAAGGATCGTCAGTGTAACAATTGATGTCTGATTCATAGTTCTTCAGAACAGCCTGACTCAAACGCATTGCAGCCGCGGCCACTCGAGACCACAGCAATGGTCCTGTGGCCAAACCAAACACCACGCAGTTGCATACGTAGTATCGAAGCCACCCGTCATCATCGCCCTGCCCTTTGGTGATGGCATACTGCCGCTCATCGGCCCGCAGCTGCAACATATTGAAGGCGTCCTTCAAAATCTAGAGCCATCAACTCAACGTAGCTGTCAGGAAACCAAGCCTTTTTTTTTTGAAATCAACTGCAAGAATCCTGCGGCCACATCGGACACCCTGGGCAATGTAACTCTTTCTCGACATGAGATGAGGCCATTCACGCCTGAACGACGGACGCCCGTCGAAGATGAGTCTCGACTTGACCGTGCCATCCTCCTTCTCTTTCACAAGACATCCCACTTTTGTGAGCCTGGCTTTGTCACCAACTTCAGCAACAACCTCTTCCCAAGAGCGACACAGCTGGGCCCTGCCCTTGTCGAGCATCTCGTCCAAGAGTGGTTGTGCTTTGTCCACCTCCTGCACAAAACTGCGATAGTTTGTCAGATCACCAATGTGATCTTCCAATACAATGCCTTCCACCCTCGATGCTTCGACTGCTGCTGTGTCACCCATTGGTGCTTGGGAAAACGCCCACATATTGTATGTCGCTTACAATGCCCAAAGGAAAACCAGTCGCCATCCACTCCGGCAACACTGTCTTCTCTGGATCATCTGCTGCAACCAACATTGCTCGCCACAGGTCTATGGGCTTTTTGTCTTGCGATGGCTGATCCACAAACTCCTCAAGGAGCATGCGTCTCAGCTGCGCCACGTCCTGCTCCGAGATGCCCAGCTCCAAGTTCTCCTGTAGACCCTGAAGCAAGTTGTCAGTCATCCACGCATCCAACACTGTCCTTATCCTCTGCCCTGCCCGACATTGCGCAGCAAAGTTGACCTTGCCACAGCCCGCTTCGCAAACCTGAGACCCGCAATGGCTTCGACATTCTCCCTTTCTCTTCTTTCTGCTATTGTCTCAACCTGGGGCTGCTCATTGCGGCACAGTCTTGGCCAGCGTCAGCGTGTTCTTCCACCTCCCAACCTTGACATAGCTTCTGGCCTTCATCCACTCACGCCCTTCCTGTGAGTCCAACCATTCCAGCAATGCCCTGGCCCACGCGACTGTGAGGCCACATGGATACTCTGCAGCAAGCGATGTGCGCCAGACTAGCTTGTCCTCAAGATAAGACCAGGTCATGCCCACCAAGCCACCTTTCAAATGATAATGTGCCTCAACCTCATGACATAAGGCACATACCTTCTTCATCCAGCTGCTGGTGGTCAAAATGCCTGTCGCCTTCCTTGCGACAGCTCCGTATGGACACTGGTGCAACAAGATGAGCTCTGCATGCGGCACACGGAAGAGCTTGGCCATACACTTAAGCATCCAAATGAATGAATCCCAAGGGTTCTCGATGGACCAAGTTCTTCCCCTTTCCGTCAGCTTCAATACCAACAGAATCATACGAGCAACAATCTTGTTCGCCTCCTCCGCCTCCGCGTCGCCCCAACCTTCGGGCTTTTCATCAGATCTCAAAATCTTCACCACTCCGCGCTCATCTGACCTTCTTGCCCTAATGTAGGTTCGACAAGGGGACGCCATGTGTCCATGGTCCAACGTTTCGCACAAATCCAGCCCTTGCTGCAGCCCTTCATCTGTCAAAATATCCCATCCCTCATAGCCATCTAAGGGACGAGACACCTTAACAGCCTCACCTCCAAGCTCCTCCATTGTTGCTGAGAAACCAGCATATCCAGCAAAGAATTCGCCAAAATAAAACGGCCGAATCTTCTCGACATCAACCACTAATTCTGTTTGCGCTGTCTGTAAATTCTCACATGCACTAGCTCGCAGCTCTGCCATCTCTGACAGCCACGAGCTTCTCCTCCTGTCACTTACCTCTGCCTTGCCCCTTCCCTTTCCCAGCGCCCTTCTCACTGGCCTTCGGGCACTGAGCATTGGGATGAGGTCCAAGACAGTACTGACAGCAATGCGACCTTCCCTGAGGGCATGGCTCCGAACAAGCACCAACAGCTCCCTTGGCGAATGCAAAACACACTTGACGACCATCACGATCTGTCTGGAACTCCCGTCCTGCCCGCCTACAGTAGGATGTGTGTTGTCCGCTTGGCTGGGTTGCGAACCACCTGCACCCCCCTTCCTCCATGGAGCCTCGGCGAACCTCGCTGCTCCAGGGTCAGCCTGGAGCTGCTGGATCTTCACCTTGTCCCTCTGCCTGCGACGTGCTGCCTTGGATTGCCCTTCACCTGGAGGTCGATGCAATGCTTGCGAAGTAGCTTCAGAATACTGCGTGTCCTCAGCATCCTTCTTAGTCATGGACTTGCTCGCACCTCCACGGGCTAGAAACGTCCGCGCGGGGCGTATCACGACTCTGTCCCAGTACTCTAGATCGTGCTGCATATTGAAAGACACCAACCCAAGGTCTGGCCTGGTCGAAATCCAAATTCATTGGCAATCGACCTTCATTCTTCGCCCTAACCAGCTCCCGTTGGAATCTCTCAAATTGCTTTTCCCTGCACTGATCCTCAGCTTGCAAAATCAAATGCCAGGCCTCTGGAAATTCGTTGTTCAGCTCCACAATACGATTGTAGTATTCCTCCAATGCAGCAACCGTAACAATGGGTGTTGCAGGTGTCCTTGTGGTAGCATTTGCAGGGTGCTTCAACATGAGAAGAACAGTTCTGTCGATCTTCCAACAGGCACTCCACGCTAAGAAGGTTGGAGGGCCAGGAATCTCCACTGTCTTCCAAGTACCATCCTGCTGCAGAACGAAATTCCTTGCCTTGGCTTGCTTTTGCGTCCTGCGGCCAAAAGGTGTAAGAACAGAAAAGTCAGCGTATGGGGCTTCATGCCTTTTCAACACCTTTGTATGCATGGCCGTAATCTGCTCAACTGTGGGGTCTGCATCAACCAAAGGGTCAGCTCCAACTGCCTCCCTGAAATTTCTGTACGACTGCTCAATCTCACTGCCGTCCAACAAATCCACTTCTGACTCATCAAGTTGGCCGACTGCAGCGGACATCTTGACACGCTTGGTTGGAGAGCCAGTCGTATGAATCGAAGCAGGCAAAGCTGAAGCTGCTGCTGCAGCCCTTGGGCCAGTTGCAGGGTCTGGCAGTAGAGGATCAATGTCAGGTAAGGCATAGGCTTGTCTCGAGATGCGCCACACCAACCCAGTCTGAATGATCTCCACAGCCGTAAGAACCCGCTCTGGCAGCGTGGCTGTGGCTGGAATTCGCGCTCGCTCAACGGCAGGTTGCAAAGTCGCGGCCGGCAAAGACGCCAGGACACGGAGATTGTCGACTCCGCCCAAACAATTTGACATCGCCAGCCAGGGAGCCTCGGCCAAGCCTACCCAATCCCGAACATCATCAATCGTGCGCAGGCCAGCCAGCTCAACGTCTGTAGGCAGGAGCTGTCTTGCCATGGGCCAAACCCGGAAAAGCACCTGGACCAATCAACGAAGGCGACAAGCCGGGCCCTTCAGACAACGCTGATCTCCAACTGTGGATCTCAGACAACGCTGATCTCCACCTGTGGATCTCAGACAACGCTGATCTTCAAATGACCAAAGGGAACCGCGCCTTCATCCTTGAGCCAAAATGGTACAAGGACGAAGTATAAACCACAACCACCAATTGACACAGCTACTGTTTCACTGCACCACGTTGTGGTTTCACGAAAAAGAAACATCTCTCAGCCAATGCTTGCCCCACCGGCCCCCCGGCCCGCTGCCTCAGGGTGCTCTTGATCCTGTGAAGGCCATGGAGCTTCCAAAGGTACCAACGGTCAATGCGGGTCAATTCGTGCACGTCCTCGACACCCATGCCATCTTCAAAGGCCTTGGCAATGGCCCACATACCTCAGAGGAAATTCAAAATGCCATGTAATGTTCATACCCTTCCTAGAAATAATGCGATGGGCGCGTGTTGGAAAGTCCTGAACATTGGATGATATGTGTTGAAACATGCAGCTTCTCAAGCGTTTGAGCCCCCTCACAACCCTTTTACCTGCTCTTAGCACCCAAAGTGCGTGCTGGAGTTGGATTGCTCAGCTCCTTCTTGAGTTCGTGCTCGCTCATCTTCACGCCACGGCGGTTCAGCTCCATGTCAAATCGAGAGTGGTCGAAGCCCAGGCTGCTTTCGTCCACCATCCGCAAGGCCTTCTGGATAGTCTCCTGGGTTGGGACGGGCTCCCAACCATGATGGTCCCAACATCACATCACCGAAGAATCTCCGAAGATCACGGGAGAGACGGGAGGGAGATATTAAATTCACGCAGCTTCACGCCTTTCGTCTTGATCTTTTTGGTGGATCCGGAAATGACCGTGACTGGGGCGTTTTGGAGGACCTGCCTTCAACCACCTGCACGTCCCACCCTTTTTAGCGAACCCTGCAGAGGCCGACAAAGCTTGTCGCAAAGCTTCAATCAAGGCCGCAAGGCCCTTGGCCCGGCATCCTCTACCACACGCAAACAAAACCACGCACACCTTCTATACCAAAAGAATGACTCGCTCCGCCGCTCCGCCGCTCCGCCTCTCCTCAAAGGTCTTTCCAATCGCCATCACTTCTCCTACGCTCTGCATGGCCGAGCCGATGCGTGCATCCACGGTGGAGAACTTCTGCAAGTCCCAACGGGGCACCTTGGCCACCACGTAGTCCAGCGAGGGTTCAAAGCAGGCCGTGGTACATCGAGTGACACTATTCCTGCGCAGATATAACCCTCCTTCTCGAGTCTACTTGAAGAAGCACGCCAAGCAGAGTTAGTGGAATGGAGGGTTGCTCAGCTATCCATCCGTCAACACTTCTTCCTAAAACGCAGCAGTACGACATGGAATTTGCCAAAGGATCTGATGTGGTAGTCATGCATGACACTCTTCAAAACGGTCCCACGTCAAAGGTCCAACAGCAGCACTTGAAGCTACCCTGACTTCCCTTCCCGGAGGATAAGCATATATATGTACATATAAACATATTCACATGGACTATCATACACTCACACAAGCACCGATGGAAGCGCCGGATCTCCTCAGTTGAACCAGATCATGGCCCAAGGCCAGCTTGGCTGCCACATAGGCCAGTGGATATCCCGTGGCCTTGGAGGCCAAAGCACTGCTGCGGCTCAGCCGGGCGTTCACCTCGATGATGCGGAACTCGGAGCTGTGCGGGTCCATGGCGTATTGGATGTTGCACTCTCCAACGATGCCTGGCATCGTCCAACCAGAAACATGAAGTTGAAACATGAGGATCGTGATCCTTTCGACGCATAGACACGATCTTTCAACATGGGCCGAAAGGCTGGACGGTTCAATATGTTTCAACTGGTCGTCAACTGGGTTTTAAAAAAATATGTCAAAACTGTACGACTCACGTGCCAGGTGGCCCAGGTGGCGGATGATCTTCAAGGCACACTCGCGCAATTTGTAGTACTCCTCGTTGTTTAAGGTTTGCGACGGGGCGATGACCTGGGCTCAATTCTGAATGAGCAGCATTGGCCTCCAACGTAATAGCAAGGGCCTCCAACCTACTAGCAATGACTATATAATGTGTGCTGCTACAGTCTGATAGGTTGGCTCAATGCTTGGCAAAGTTGCTATCGACTCGCCAGTGTGGACCCCGACTGGGTCAAAGTTTTCCATGTTGCACACTGTGATGCAGTTGTCGTTCTTGTCACGCACAACCTCATACTCGAGCTCCTTCCAACCCTTCCTGCAATAGAATCGCGACAGAAACACATAGGCTGGTTTTGGAATGGCTTCGCACTGCAAGAAGCACTACTGATTGTCAGACTGCGCATCGTTACAAAGAGAATTGTCCATGAATGAACCTGAGCCAGTGAGAGGCACACAACCAGGGCGATCTGTTTAGAAATTCCAAACTTCTTCCCACTTCTTCCCAAGTGTCAAGGACTTGTCAATGATCACCTGCGGACTATTCACAAGCGCTATGCTGACCAGCTGTCCTTAGCTTGCAGGTGCCATGAAGTGGAACATTTAGCATGATCTGGCAAGCCCCAAGGGCCATGCATCAATCTCAAGATTACGTATGCAAGTTATACAGAAAAGTCCAAAAATGCTTCACTTGTAATGTCCAAGTCTCGCAAGTCTTCGTCATTGTAGGCAAAGCCACTGCCAAGCCCTCCCAAAGCATAGGCTGCTCGGACCAGCACGGGGTATCCAATCTCCTGTGCTGCCTTGATGGCCTCTGCCATAGAGCCACAGCAGGAGCTCTCAGCGATCTTTTCACCACAGGCCTGAACAGAATAATGCTAAAACATGACCAACACAGGTACAGTCTAAGGGCAGGGCTGTGAGAGTCCAAACGTGAGAGTGTGAGCTCTGGGGAAGCAATGGGAACCATGCTTGGGCTTGGGTAGGTTGACTACGTCTGCGAAGCACTAGTCACCTAGTGTATCCTGATATCCGATATCCTGTACATCTCTTGAGATCACATGCGCTTCGGGGATTGCCAATTGATGATTGATCAAGTAAAATGTATTTTAAATATATTGTAGGTTTCTTTAAATCCTGCAAAATGTTTATAGATAATAGCTCCTAGCTCGGGCACCTCGACAACCTTGCTGAAGAGGTCTCGGTCTTCTGTCTTCATGATAGCATCGATTTGAGTTCCTCGCAAAGGAACCGTGACTGCTCAAACCCGATCAATCCTCTCGCTGTAAGATTCTGATGCACAAAGCCTGTGCGGATGTATGTGAGAGCACGTATACCCTTCCAGTGCCTTCCAGGATCTATGGCACTCCCATCCCTTACCCACTAACTGTCAGGTGCAAATCACAGTTGCATCATATATATTTGCGCTTGTCGTGACTCTACACCTTGCAGCGCTTGCAATAACGGGACAAATCTGCCCATTCCGACTGTCAGCCAAGCTTCCAAGAACTTGGACGTTGTACTTTTCCAAGGCTCCAGATTGATGCAGCTTCACTGCGCAATTCAATGCCTACCAAAAGTCAAAGAAGACTCAGACTTGCACCGCAACATGTACAGTTTGTGAGGCTTTCCCGTCACCCTACAAAGAGGCTTATGAGAGACTTCTGTTATTTTGATTGGCAAGTTTTTGCGCACCTAACGAAACATTTACATTGTGCAAATTGTGGATTTAAAGGCGGTGTCCATTCTGTACTTCCAAAAAGTGAAGCCCAAACCTATTATCCCGAAATTGAATTCAATAAATCCATCTGACTATATAGGCTCTAAAGATATAGTTTTTGATGTTTTTTGTTGATGATCTCAGATATATATATATATATATAATATATCAATATCGATCTAAGTATGATACCCGTCCGCGGCGGCCCCCAGCCCCACCACCAGAACACCCTCCGGAACCCTAGCCGGCCGTCTGGCCGCCGAAGGCTGCAAAAAGGCCATCGGGGCGCTCGCGCTCAATGACCTTCACCACGAACTCCGGTGTCACCGGGAGGAAGTAGACGCGGTCCGCCATCCCGGCCGATGTCCTAAGAGGACAGGATGGGCGACCCGGTCTAGAAGTTATCTCTTATGAACTCAAGTGTGCGCTACGGACCATGGACCATTGTTGCTTCTTGGAGAAATCGTGGCTCTGAATTATATCTCTGAGCATCTGAACGGTAGCAATGTTCGGATTGATGAGGATAGACATCACACCTGCTTCCTTCAAAGCCTTGATCGCTTGGCTGCCAGAATAGTCAAACTCACCCGCCTGACCAATGGTGAGCCCCCCCGAACCCAGTACGAGGACCTTGCGATGAATCGTTGGCAGCGAATAGGGCATGGTGGTCACCACAGAGGTGGAAGGCTCGGCAATGAACTGCAAGAAGTGGTCGAAGAGGAAATCGGTATCTGTGGGCCCTCCACACGCCTCTGGATGAAACTGCACCGAGAACCAAGGTCTTGAAGAATGAATGATACCCTCATTGGTGCCATCATTGGCATTCACCATGAGGGGTACCCAATTCTTAGGCAGAGTGGTTTGATCCACTGCAAAGCCGTGGTTCTGTGCAGTGATATAACATCGCTGAGTTCGCAGATCCACCACCGGCTGGTTCATACCACGATTACCAAACCTCATCTTGTAAGTGGAGGCCCCAGCTGCCAAAGCCAGGATCTGATTGCCCAAGCAAATGCCAAAGATCGGCGTACTGGGACGGTGTTTCATCACATAGCGCACATGCTCCACCGTCTTCTCGCACATGGTGGGGTCTCCTGGACCGTTGCTCAGAAACAAGCCATCGAAGTTCTCCTGGGTGAAATCATAGTCCCAGGGCACCACTGTGACACGGAGCCCGAGCCTGTTGACGAGGTACCTGGAGACACTGGCAAAACGCAAAAGTTGCGATTACAAAACACATGACAACAATTCAAAATGCCAAACCAGCAAAAAACGTAGGAACAATGGCTCTTGCCGCCGGCTGGGCCCTAATTTACTAAAGGCACCCCACAACCACCACTCTGACAGTGGCCCGGCCTGATGATGTTGTTCTTCATCCCACAGTCTACAGCCAGCACATGGACTTGTCTCCCATGGCGCTGTGCAGGCGCAAAGACCTCCGTCTCCTTCCTCGAGACTTCTGCCACCAAGTTCCTCTGATTCGGATCATCCATGGCCAATGCAGCTGAGGGCGTGCTTCCCTCGACCACCAGCTTTCCCAACATCGAACCATGCTGACGGATCACCTTCGTGATGGCACGTGTGTCCACCCCATAGATGCCGGGGATACCTTGCGATGACAGCCAGTCTCCAAGAGAGCGGACGCAGCTGTAGTGGGATGGCTCATGGGAGTAATCCAGAATCACCACGCCCTTCAAATGGATCCTGGATGGCTCAAAGTCGGACCCACGCACCGCAGTCCGTGGCATGCGGAATTGATACGGACGGCTTGCGGCAGACGTCATGATCTGCCATGAAGATAGAGACACACACAAAGATTTGACACTCATCATGGAAGTGGATGGCAGCTGCCCCCCTGCCATCCACTTCCATAATCGTTTCAAGAGGTGTGGCATTTGTGGCACAGTTATATACATAATGCTACATCAGATCTCTCTCTTGTACATGTTTGTTTGCACCTGTTACTTCTCACCATTTGGGCAGGTCTTTGTCTTCTGCTCTCCGGCTGTTAAGACCAGGACTCTTCAACAAAAGGGGTCCAAAAGGGTTTCTGACTTTGAGTCGAAAGGCTTGTGGCTTTCGAACCATCTGGGCAGTCCAAGTTCATCTTTCTGCTCCATCTCGGGAATGCCGTAGTTCCCCACGAGCGGGTAGGTAAAGACCAGGATCTGTCCTGCATATGAGGGGTCTGTGATTGATTCCGGATATCCCACCATGCCAGTGTTGAAGACCACCTCCCCAGACACCGACTGGGTCGCACCAAAGGCGAAGCCCTGCAAAATCATGCCATCCGCCAGCTCCAAGTTGCACTTCTGCCGAGTGAGCCATCCCAGCTCATCGCAAGTGTCGGCCTCGGCATCAAAGCCTAGGAAGACGTTCTCCACCATCCTCGAGAAGAAGTTTTGAGTGTTGCTTCTCTCAACCCTTGATCCTGTGCAAAAATGGCTCGCAGAGGTGGTGTTTGCATGGGCTGGTCACGAAACGAAACATGCCTTGACAAGTTGTCCTGGCCAAAGGCTTCACATGCTAATCCCTTACGCTACTAGTAACAAGAAGCTACTAGGGGCTCCTGGCATCGCTACTAGGAACAAAGGATGCTACTAGGAGCTTTTTCGCCCTGCGCGCGCGCGGGGGAGGTAGAGGACGCTACTAGTCCCACGGAGGTTCTCTCTGGTGGCCTGTGGGCGCGGTGTCAATGATGATCCGGTCGAAGTTCTCCTGATGGTAAAGATCAGTGCTGCATCGCCCTCTCCCTTTCCAGGACACACAGTTGAACTAGACTCTCTCCTTTCGTGTTGTGGTGATCACTGGCATTACTGCTTCAAGTTGACTACTACCCCACAGGCACCAGCAACGCTGCATGCCATAATCAGCAATCTCTGGATGCAACCAAAGGCATTGGATGCTCAGCATTCGTGAGTCCTTGACCTTTTCCAAGACCTCTGTGAGCGCCACAATCTCATCACTGCCGGGGGGGTAGCGTATCAAAAAGATCAATGAAGTCCTGCAAAGGGGACCATCGTTAGATGCCCTCCACGATCAACATCAGAAAACAAGCTTGCGCGACGTGTTCACGCAGGGTTCTAAGTGTCACCGTTCAGTAAGGGACGGAGTGGTCATCTAAGTGTCAGTTCCGCGTGGTCACCTAATAACTAAGTGTTCCATGTAGCACGTAGGCCTCCCTCCGCGTCTTCTTCGAAAAGGAACTCACTCAAAACAGGCGCTGTAGGGAAAGAGAGTACAGTTCCTGCAGCAAAGCCAGTCCTCCATGGGCAGCTGTTTCAGCACTTGACCGACCAATCCTCCATCGCCTTCTCTCCGTCTTAAGGCATCTCGCACCTTGGGAGCCGTCCGTGTCCTAAGACCAGCGGTGTCCAAATTGGGAGGTCAGATCGTAGACTGTGGCGGATTATCAGACATTTGTTCAACCCCTTACAGTACCCGCCACAAACAGAACCTACAAGTACCTCCTCAACAAGTGACCATCCGGAAGGACCCAACTGCATGTTTCATCCTGTATCAAGCTCCACCCAACTCCTGCAGGACCCCCAGACCCCAGACCCCGCGGACTGGATCGCGGTGATGCCGCAGCGGTGTCCACCTGGGCCTCCCGGGCCGTCTGCTGAAATCGCTCCATGGCCGCAGCGGTGTCCACCTCCATGGCGTAGAGCTCCCCGGCGCCCGAGAAGCTCTCCACCGGCTCCGCCTTGGCCTCAGCGGTGGTTTTCTCGACATGACCTGATCCGGAGTCGTTCGAAGATCCACTCTCCTCTTCAGTAGTTGGAGTTCGGGGTCGGTACAGAGCATTGTCACGAAAGCAGGAGACGAAAGTAGGGTCGGTGCATGCTGGGTCGTGACTGGGCGAGGATTCGCCGGTGAGAATGATTCGTTAACCTGCCAACCTCAATGCGCTCTTGACACCCATTTTCGCCGGGCACACTGCCAAATCCTTAGGACTGGAGCTGCCACTGTTGTGTGGAGATGTGGTGGTCTTCTGCTTTCTCCACATCTCCAGTGTCCTGTGGCCAGACCTTCGAACTGCCACAATAGAATTTAATCATTACCGCGGCTGCAATCACACCAGCCACTAGCAAGACTACCATGCAAATTATGAGCACAATCTGCCCAGAATCTGCTCCCTCAATGCCAGGCGTGCTATCGCCGCACGTCGTCCCCTGTGCTGGCAACCAGCGTATTAAAGCACTGCTCCTCCCACTTCGATCTTCAGGCGCAAGGCCCAGGAACACCGACCGTGCACTGCTCAGCGCACTTTCCTCCACTTGAACCAGGACAGTCATAAGCCCTGAGGCCTGATTCTCCACCGTGCTGAAGGACACACCGCTCGCGCCGCCGGGTGTAGAAAGAGGCTCCTTTTCCAGGACGCTGTGGAGGTGACCCCATGACAAGGCACTCTTTAAGGTGAGGAACGAGCTCCCTGATTGCCTCATCTCTTTGAAGGTTTGACATGAGGCTGGGGCTGGAAGGAGCTGGAGTGAACGCAGGAACTGGAGTGAAATGGTGGCGACTACTCGTCCAACATTCTTCTGAACCCTGAGCTTGTGATGGGCGACAAGTCCAGTCTCTATGCTTAAAACTGGTTTGAATGTCTAAAGGTCTCAAGTTCGGAGTTGCCAAAATGGAACTCGTGCAGACTCCCAGTGGCTGAATGACTAACTCGTAGCTCCCGGGGCAGCTCACCGAACTCGTGAAGAAGGACCATTGTCGTGCTCGCAGTTCTGCACTCACACCGTCTCCAGAGAGTGCCGTGGCCTCCTGGTCACAGAAAGGTCCAAGATACCTCAAGGCCAGGGTCAAACTGTCTGCCGGCGCCTCAAGCTCCGGTCTGGGTGAACGAGAAGCCCTGAAATAGCCCGGCTGAGTTCAACCCTCCACCTCCAAACAATAGAATCAACTGATATCAACTGCATGTGTTTTTTCACGGAAGAGGTTGCGCATACTGTGCGGGCATGCATGCCGTACAACAAATTAAGTCTGTGGTTTGTCTGTCAACCCCCTGAAATAAGTTCGAAGAGCATTCACGAAGCTCAGGGGCAAGTAGTGGCAGACAGGTGGAAGCTGTGGGCTTGGGGCCGAACTGAGAAAGCCCGGCCAATGCTTCACCCTAAATATAACTGATGTTACGTTCCACTGATTGAAGTTGGTTGAAGAACAACTCCTCGCGGTCTACATTCGCGGCCAAGACACGGCGGAAAGCAGCGGCAAGTCCATTTTGACGACTGTTTTTCAGCCGTTCCATGCACACAGCTGGGTGCGCGCACCACTGCTGCGCACTCGGACAAAGCAAACGGTCCGGAAGCAACTAGTGAAAATGGCTGGGGCGTCCGCGCGGGCACTGAATTCGCAAGGACTGTGGCCATGCAAAGCCCAGAAGTAAAGCTGTCGTAGCCCACCAATGAGACCTGCAGGATCAGATGAATGATCCAAATCCAAACGGTTGACAACCCTTGGTAGAGATAGTAGGACGCTGTGGAGGTATGACTGAAGCCATTCTGCACCGGCTTCAGTCCGGTGCTTTTATGTCCGGCTTCGGTCCACCCAGGCCTTCTCTATGTTGTTGGTTGTGTCAGGGCTAGCTGCACCGTTGCCCCATCTGTCCGCCCAGCTCGACACATCGCAGGTGACCTTCAGATCCAAGTCGTGAACCAAACGACCGTCATCGGAGGGAGGATCTGTCCAGGCCAGGGTGATGGCCAAAGAGCCTGCGCCAACACCCGGTCTCCTTGGATGCGGGTGAGCATGGGTGAACTCATTCCCAAACCATCTGAAAGAAGGAAAGCATTGTTGGCAACATCTGGCAAAAGTTGTCTGCATGGTTGATTTGCAACTCAACTGTTGGCCTTCTATGCCGCTGCTTCTGTTTTGCAAGTGAGTGTTCTCAGTTGAAAAGCTCTGTGTTTCATCATTTCATCCCAACAAATTGGAAGACATGTTCGCTTGGAAGACAAATTGGAGGCTCATCTCCAAGCAAAAGCGTTGGGCTTGATCACTGCCCGCCCAAGATTGAATCACCACCAGGCCAGGCCCTGCTGGGATCGGAAGCAATGAGTGCAAGGTGGGAAGCCCAAATCCCACATCTGGCAAACGCACCTGATCGGTCCAGCCGTTTTCGACAAACAAATGATCGGCAGGACCTAGGGCGAGCATCGGCAGATGCTCCATAAGATGTTGAGGACCCCACATGTTGATTGTAATTGTGAGGATCCCTCACATAATACACTGCAATTACCAAAAAGTATAAAGCTTTCTGGAAAAACAAATTGCCCATGCAACAACAAATATTCCTTTGGCTCTTGCTCCAGAGGAAGCCGGATGACGGCTCAAAGCAGGCCAGCTAAAGGCTCGCCAATGATCAAATCCGAATCAACCCTTCTCACCCAGCCCACGTGCCGCCCCGACACCGATGAAGAGGAGGAGATCGATCTCGGGTCCAGTTCTGCGGCCGTCACCAGCATGGCCTTGATCGTGGAGGCCCACGTCTCACTGAGGCGCGCTTCAGACCGATCTCCCCAGTCTGTGAGATATTCGCCTCCGTCGACGCATCTGGTCACAGAGGACACCGGATTGCTTGCCTTTTGGACATGGAACCTGAAATGGCCACTTGGGCAGGGACACCTGTGGCACTTTGCAAGGAGGTTGTCCCTGCACAAGAAAACAAGAGTGCCCTTCAGCAAGCCGTTTGAGGTCTGATGTCCGCATCACCTGCGATGTTGAGTTATCCAAATCTACTTAGTGCAACGAGTCAATGAGTAGCAGCTTGGTGATTTTAGCAAACACCTATATACTCGCCGTAGCACGCACAGTGCAATTCCCACATCATCCATCCTCCCCCGAGTCTTTGCACTCCAATCTTTGCTCAGTCACGTACCAGTGCAGCAGCGCCCGCCGCCAGGCCACAGCTCTGGGAGGTGCCACTCATCGCGCGGAAGCCGCAGCTGGTGCCCACAGAAGTGGAGGTGATGCCTGGCGTGCTTTGAGGCTTGGGTGAGCGCGACATTTTAAAAAAATTAAGACCATGGGGGATATCATATACAACTACATATGGGA